GTCAATACACATATACCATCAAAACTGTCATTCTATACCGATAATTCATAAGTTATCTCCAGTGGGGAAATAAACAACATTATGCTTACAAATCCAATTTTTCTATCAAACTTAACTTAACCCCCTCCCTACATGGAATTGTGAGGCCAGAAAATTCACAATTTTGGGGGTCAGTTAGGATCAATATGGGAATACCATATAGTCATCATCCTTCACTCATAATTCTAACCAAGTGTGAAAATTTCAATGGAAACTAAAATTATGCTCAAAAATTTATTTTTCCTACATAAACTATAGTAAACTTTACCCTTTCTCCATGGGGAAATGTGAGACCCTGGGGCCATGAAATCTACCATTTGTTAAGAAGGTTTTTGAAATCAGAGCCCCTTTTGGCCGTCTCCCTCAGGCCCTTGTGGGGTGGGGACCATATAATTCACTAGTTTGGTTCATCTTAGGCAACGGAAAGTATGGACACGTGTTCGTAATAGGTTAACATGAGACTTATATGCCCTCATATCAGGGCATTCATTAATCAAGACTTCGGATCAGATAACGAAGCAAAATTTCATTTGATGCACGACATTTACACACTGAACTTCAAACTTACACTTCACAGTTTTTTCCTGAAGACCATCAGGCGTTTAGGCCTACAATGTCCAATTTCATGGTTTTGTTGTTTGTTGATGCCCATTATGGTAAATAATAATTTTAACATTCATCATCATAGCCATCTAGTTCCTTATGGAAAATGTGATAATCTTCACATTCACCATCATAGCCATCTAGTTCCTTATGGAAAATGTGATAATCTTCACATTCATCATCATAGCCATCTACTTCCTCTACAAGGTTAGATTTGATTTTATCAGGAAACACTCGTAACCAAATGACTATAACGTTCAGATTACTGACTTTTTTCAAAATAATTATTCTTGTTAATGTACAAACTATGAAATGCTACAGAAGTTTATGTGGACTATGATCAATTGACCTTTAGACAGCTGATTTTCTTCTTTAATTCTGACCAATTCCGCATTATAACGTCACAACAACATGTCCTCCTGTACAAAGATACAAAATTTGACACTGACCTTTTTGTAAACTAAGATCTTTACCAAAGTATCGAAAATCAATCAATATTAAGTTTTCAGCATGGAACTTACTTTGTGGACAGACAGTCATCTTTATCTTTGATGAATTTAATTCTAATACTGCTTCAAAATGTCATTACAATCCATTTACCAGTGAAAAGCTAAAAAATTTGACCTTCACCTTTGACACAGTGACCTTATCTCTTTGATCTTGTGAATTTTGTCTGTTGTTTTATCTTGTCAAAACAAAAACAAAATGTGACCTTGACCTGGACTTTGGTCTTTTTGTCATCTGATTGTGTATTTTTGTAGACCGAGTACACGCAGGTGATGATTAAAATTGACACAGTCAAATTCAACACACAGAGGTGGCAATGACAATTTGATACACCAGTAAACAGAACACCAGTAAACAAAGCATAAAATGTGACAACAGCTTTCACTGCCTTTCATATGTGTAGGACAGGCATTCCTCATCATTTTCACTTGTTCATATCACTTTCAGCCATCCAATCATTCTTCAATGTTTTATGACATCCTCACTGTTACCAACATCACAAGACAAAATTATCCGTGTGACATATGCAATGTTAAGAACTTAAATGGTTAGATTTCTGTACAATACTTGAGGCACTATAAATCACAGTAATACTACAGCCCTTATATAGACAAGATTATCGACGGGAGATAAAGCCTATTAGATGTATAATGTAAACCTCTGGTCAGTTTCAATAGGTGGGTACTTCAAACACATTATTTTTTCTAATAAAAACAAAAACTTTCTGTCTAGTGATAGTTCCAACCTTTTCTAGTTTGTTTCACTTACATTTTGAATTGTTCAAACACATCACAAGACCGCACGTCTTACTATTGATAAAGGCAATGACATCGCAATTATTGTTCCATAAGGTCACTGTTCACATCAACATTGAAACACTAAGGGTGGCAGGCTGTATGTGACCATTGCAAGCAATTGATGGCATCAGATTATACACATACATGTCACTTAACTAGCATCGATGTGTAGCGTGATTTCTTTCACATCTTTCAGAAACATCATGCCAGTTGACAACTGGTGACCCCAACTCTGTATATACCAATCAGCATGTGTTTTGTCAAAGAACAACATTTTTTCATTTTTGCATCTTCATAATATAATCACATCAAGATTGTCCTAAAAAATGTGAGATTCCTTAAGATCTTAACAAACATTAATCCGTAGTCATATTAAGTCTCAACTCCCACTTCACATAGCAATATGCCAACACTAACTTCTGTCAATACACTAACAGAAATGCGCTTTTTATGGCCTGATTTCTTCACGGTTATAAAGATCACAAAGAAACCTGTGATTTCTTCACACTTGATTAACATTTTTTAACAGCACAGAAGTGTTGCAAAAGATAATCATTTTATAATCAACACTCCCCCCCCCCCCCACCGACTCAAGAAAATGCCATTATCGACTGATAGCTTCCTGCCCCGCTTGGACACTTTCAGACACTTTGACATGATTTTAAGCAATGGTTTAAACAGACGAAGCATGTAATATCAATCACCTTCGAAGACGAGTAATATCAATCACCTTTGAAGATGGGTAATATCGATCACCTTCAAAGACAGGTAGAATCAGTCACCTTCAAAGGCACGTAATATCAATCACCTTCAAAGATGCGTAATATCAATCACCTTCAAAGAGGGGTAATATTAGTCACCTTTGAAGACAGGTAATATCAGTCACCTTTGAAGACGGGTAGTATTAATCACCTTCGAAGACAGGTAATATCAGTCACCTTTAAAGACGGGCGTATTAATCACCTTCGAAGACAGGTAATATCAGTCACCTTTGAAGACGGGTAGTATAAATCACCTTTGAAGATGGGTAGTATTAGGGGTGTGAGGTATTATCGGTATATCAAGGTTCATCATTAAAAAGATACGTATCGCAGTACAACTTAGATGTATTGGTTCACTCGGAGCCTCTCGGGAACCATCTTTAGTTTCTGTGAAAAGTTCGTTTAGTAATGAAAATTTTGAATATAATCATTTATACCTTTATTTTTATGTGTAAATCTCTAATACTGTGATAATTCATTCGAATTTATGATGTTTATGAGACGATAAGTATTGATGAATCCATCATCGAGTGCTTAGTAATGTATCCAAAATGGCGGCCTTCATAGGCATTGACGATAGAATAGTGAAAAACCCGAAGGGAAAGGCTAATGTTTGGAAGCACTTCGTAAGGGGAAGCTAGGAGCAAAGAAAACATTGCTGGGTGCAACATTTGTAGAGCTGTAGTTAAGTGTAGCGGCGGAACAAATAATCTTACGACTCACTTAAGACGCAATCACCCCATGAGTGTTCCATCATCATCATCATGCAGTGTTACTACTAGTACTAAAAACCCAGAATTACGACATGATTTGAGTTTGAGTTTGGATATCTAATATCTAAAAGAAGTTATTAAATAATTAATGATACATTTTACAGTTCTTTTGCATTTGGTTTTATCGTATAATCTGCATTATTGTTTCGCTTAAAGAAAATGGATGGATTTCTTCTTACAGTGAAATATCATGATACGTATCACGATATGCTGATCATGTATCGCGATATGAAAATTCTCATGATACCCATCCCTAGGTAGTATCAATCACCTTTGAAGACGGGTAATATCAATCACCTTCGAAGACGAGTAATATCAATTACCTTTGAAGAGGGGTAGTATCAATCACCTTTGAAGACGGGTAGTATCAATCACCTTCAAAGAGGGGTAGTATCAATCACCTTCAAAGAGGGGTAATATCAATCACCTTCAAAGACAGGTAATATCAATCACCTTCAAAGAGGGGTAATATCAATTACCTTCAAAGACAGGTAGTATCAATCACCTTCAAAGACAGGTAGTATCAATCACCTTCGAAGAGGGGTAGTATCAATCACCTTCAAAGATGGGTAATATCAATCACCTTTGAAGACGGGTAATATCAATCACCTTCAAAGAGGGGTAATATCAATCACCTTCAAAGATGGGTAATATCAATCACCTTCAAAGAGGGGTAATATCAATCACCTTCAAAGATGGGTAATATCAATCACCTTCAAAGATGGGTAATATCAATCACCTTCAAAGAGGGGTAGTATCAATCACCTTCAAAGAGGGGTAATATCAATCACCTTCAAAGATGGGTAATATCAATCACCTTCAAAGAGGGGTAGTATCAATCACCTTCAAAGAGGGGTAATATCAATCACCTTCAAAGACAGGTAATATCTATCACCTTCAAAGAGGGGTAGTATCAATCACCTTCAAAGATGGGTAATATCAATCACCTTCAAAGATGGGTAATATCAATCACCTTCAAAGATGGGTAATATCAATCACCTTCAAAGAGGGGTAATATCAATCACCTTCAAAGAGGGGTAATATCAATCACCTTCAAAGATGGGTAATATCAATCACCTTCAAAGATGGGTAATATCAATCACCTTCAAAGAGGGGTAGTATCAATCACCTTCAAAGACAGGTAGTATCAATCACCTTCAAAGAGGGGTAGTATCAATCACCTTTGAAGACGAGTTATATCAATCACCTTTGAAGACAGGTAGTATCAATCACCTTCAAAGAGGGGTAGTATCAATCACCTTCAAAGAGGGGTAGTATCAATCACCTTCAAAGAGGGGTAATATCAATCACCTTTGAAGACGAGTTATATCAATCACCTTTGAAGACAGGTAGTATCAATCACCTTCAAAGAGGGGTAGTATCAATCACCTTCAAAGACAGGTAGTATCAATCACCTTTGAAGACGAGTTATATCAATCACCTTTGAAGACAGGTAGAATCAATCACCTTCAAAGAGGGGTAGTATCAATCACCTAAAATTGTTATTTCTGTAAACATACCTCACAAACATTATAGTCATCCGAGTCAAGACTGCTACACAGGGACGGTAGTAGTTCTGTCCAGTTCCTCAGCTCTCCTTTGGCCACAATGGTGGTCACAAGGATACCAATGGTGGCACGGATCAGTGGAGATGGGTCTCCAATACTGTTCAGACATTCTTGTTTAATGAAGTTTGTCACCTCAGGAGGAAACTTCTCAAAGTGGGCTCTTACATTGTTTTTTAATATCAAACCACTTAGTGAACGGGTCGGGTCATCTACAAACAAAATCATGTTTTTATTTATAAATTAACATTTTACATCACCTAATGTTATGCTTGATGTTCGATTTATTCCCAAGAATTCAGAAAATCCACAAAATTTTTAAGTAAGACTGAAAATTAAGCATAACACCTTATTTACAAAATAAACAGGCATAACTTATGTGAATATTCAAAGTAGGCATAATTTATCAAATGTAAACGTTCAAAGTAGTTTCCAAACATTAATAGGACGAAAAGATCACTAAAAGTGTGGTGGGCTTATAACATTAAATAAACAGTACCATGATGTTTAGGACAAGAAAAAACTAATTATAACTCACCCTCTGTGGTCAGCTTGGTCAGTACAAATATTAAATAGTTGTTGAAGTCAGGATATTTATTTAACTCCTCAAGTTTCTGGTAGAACTTGTTAAGGTTTAACATATATGCAAAAGTTTAAAATTAAAAAAAATCACATGGAACATACTGAGTTACACATATAAAATGCATCAGAGCAGACCTCAATTTTGATTTATAAACAAGAATTTGACACAACTAGATCCTGTTTGTAAATTAATGTCAGATATAACATATACTGGAGTTAAGTATAACAGGTACTCTACCTATAACTCATTACATCAATCAGAATTGGTGTAGAATTTACTTATAATTTATTTCAACTATACATAGACAGCAGAATCATTAATTATTGTGTACAGCTGAATACACAACAACATCAGTTTTTCTTAAAAGGATTTTTTTCAGGCATCCCAGAACACATCCCAAATTTTGACGAGTTCCAAAACAAAGATATTTAGTGAGTTGTCAAAACTTGTTTCCACAGGAAAAGCATCACTATACTATTCAACAAGAAGACCAACACATTAAAACATGATTTTAGAACAAGAGAAAATTGTCAGGAAGGATTGCAGTTAAGATTTCAATGATACAGGAGTGCTGTGTAGAACAAACACAATCAAAGAACAAGCAATTTTTGAATTGTGGTTAACACTTAATAATTTACATTTAAGTGATATAATGGTTCTACAACACAAAGTTAAATTTCTGAGATACAACATTCTATTGATCTTGTTATGAATTATTTGGTAGTTACTCTCACACATCAGTGATTGGTGTTACAAAAAAAATTCCTAATCCTACAAGGCCGAGATCAAATATTGATGTTCTGTGGAACACAATAAAAGTCAATTATCCTGGTTATACCTAAACAACACACAATGTGTACAATTATGATAGTAAATGCAAACCAAACAAGTCTATCACTCATTAATTATCATTTGTAATGAATATATGACTTGTGGATTTCAAATTTAGAATACCATCAAAGACTTTACAGAGGTGTTCAATTCTAAAAAATTTCCACTGGCCCAAGGGCTAGTGAACCACTTTTTCTTACTTATCTGATCAAAACTACCAGCCCCACTTTTGAAATTTTCAATTACAGTAAAAGTTGTTTTTTCTATAATTTACCATGTTCTCAATAGAATTAATCCCATCAGTGTTGTTCAATAAAACATTAAACATGTACAAATGAGACTGTTTGTCTAGTTTTGTTCAAGAAGTTGACAATTAACATGAAAAAAATTACTTGATACATCGTACATGTATACCAAAGGTTTAGCGAGTCACCCTGAACTTCTAAATTCTAAATGTGTGTAATTCATTCTCCCATCTCATCTCCAGTGGGAAATCCTTAAGGCAACAACGCATACATTGGATCTGAACTATTGGAGCTAATGTCAATAAAATTGTTATTCCTATATTTCTCATAGGGAAATGAGTAAAAGTTTTTATTTATAAATTTGCAAAATCTGAAGCTTAAAGCAGATAAAATTACTGAGAAATGTATATTTCAGAAGACAATGTTGTAAACATTTGTCAAGTATAAATCTCTTCATGTAACGAAAATATTTACTTAAATTATCTGGAAAGCCAACAGTGGCTTATTTTGATGTGACCATGTCGTGTGTAATGTAACACCTATCAAAGCAGTAGAACTAAGTAAAAATGATCGTTTCAATTTCAACATATCATACACTAAATTGTGTTGGGTGTCCTTGTGTGTCCAAGAACAACCAGCGATATAATACACCACATGCTTCTCATACACCATTTGTTAAATGTAAAACAGTCTTTCTTGTATATTCTATCAAATTAAACAATATTTTCGATAGTTGGCCTACACCGACATCTAATGTCATGGACGTAACATTGGACTTGCATCACAGCCCCTCCATTATATAAGTCATCTTTTGCATCGTGATAGTACAAATGCGCATTAAACAGCTGGGAACCGATTTGTGATAAGTGCCTCTAACAGGATGTCGGAAAACATATATACCAATGTACATCATAATTAAGGATAAAACCACAATCTTTTCAATGTCCGGGACGTAGCATTATGACACAATTTACACTAGCGCCAAGTGATTTAATTTCTTGAAAACGTGTTCAGTGGTTTTTCACTACATTCACTAGCATTTGGATACCAACCACTGCTGTGAGGATATACACAACCACAAGGCAGAAATAATACACACGTTAACACCATTATAAGTATATCTTTGGACCTAACATTTATAACACGAAATGTTACATCCAGATGCTAATGTTTTTAAAATTTTGTAAATGTAATGTACATTTCTTAAAAGCATTTACATTTCTTCAATTTTTTCAATCTTAATATAATCACATTGTCTCATACCACTGAACAAAACTGATATGTTAACATTTCTTTATGCTTGCAAAAACTACTCCTCTGGACTAGACACCAAAAAATGGTGTGGAGTCTGTTCCAAATGGAACTTAAGATAGAAATTGTGATTTAAATATTTCATTATACAGTGAAACCTGCTTAATATCATGTTCTATTTGACAGGGGGAAATGTGAAAGTGGAACATGACCATTAACAACCGACACATTTTTCTGGATGTCTAAACCTGGAATCTAATTTTCAGATGCGCAAAACCGACTTGTTTCTAATAGATAAGGTTCGAAGACAACAAATTCAGAATTAAAATTCTTTTTCCAATAAGAACAGTGTTTTCCATGACAAAATTTTGTTAGTCTTTTCTTTTGAAATATCTAAACTGTTATCATAAATTATCATGAACAGTCATGACAATTTATGTCATATTCAGATTATACACTGTCAGATTCGTACATGACACTACCGTGTCATCAGCTGATGTTTTGCTGTATAATTTACCATCCATTACAGCATAGGCTTCTTAATGGTGTATCATCGCGCAGTTTGTATATATACAGAGTGTACCTCTGCAACTTTGATAAAATTGTTTTGCAGATCGCAACTTCATCCTTGCCTACAGTGTTAACTGGTCACCTTTCAAACGCCACTTTTCATTGGCTGTTAAATTAGTTGTTACTTTTAATGACTATATCAGATGTTAAAAATGGCATAGTGAAAACCCGGTGTCAGAACATTTTACTGTCAACTTACCACTGTTCGCAATAATTTTAGCAATAAATTGGCAATTACTGACATCGTACAAGATTCATATAAAATTTCTCAGAAGACAGGTCAGATATAAGCCAAAACCATTTAAAAATTATGAAAATTTCAAAACTAGCAACATAGTCCTAGTCTGAAATGAACAAAAAGACATCAAAAACGATACTCATATGTTTAAATACATGTTCAAAAAAGCATATGAAGACAGAAATTACTAGATTTCATCAGTATTATGAATATCGCTTGTTTATAGACTGAAAATTTTCTGTTATACTAGTAACAGTGTGGCACCACCCAGTACGGTCCAGTTCTACCTGACATAACCTGATACTGCCTGGTCAAGTTATACAGGTGGTGCCGTTTGCATTTAGTGTAACTGGTAATGGTGCTGCAATCAAATATTCTAAGCCAAATTGAATAGAGGGGAAAACACACTGGAATAGATTAAACAAAGCAAACTTTATAAAGTAAATACACTTGTTTTGCTATAAAATAAATACAATATTTATGACAGAGTTGTGGGAATATTGTTCAGTTCATCGCATCTGTGGTGGAAGTGTTTGTACCAGTTTTTGAATCCCTACCTACAGTCTGTAAAATGATCTGTCAGTAAATATGTACATGTCCAAAAACAGCATATTAAATGTTAATATTGACATTAAATCATCATTTTAGAGACAGAAATAGTTGGTCTTATTTAGGACGAGTTTCAAAGGATGCTTAAGTTTCTCAAATTACAAACGCAATTATGGAATAATCATTATAATAGATGAATCATGTAACAATTTGCCATCAGGTACACACGACATCAACCAGTTTACTTCAATCACAACATAATTTACAAAATTACAAAAAAATCACGTAAAAGTCAACCGTTCGACGAATAAGTTAAAGGCAACAGAAAAGTTCAGTGATGTTGAAATGAGGTCCCCATATCACGTGAATGCTTACATCACAGTTGGTCTACATCTGATTATAAGAACTCTCAACAACCATTTATATCAATAATAATTAACGATAATTCGATATAATTACCGCCATGATGTTCATCTCCAGTTCCTAAGTGATACAAAGTCATAAAACGTAATACATACAGTGATGAATTGGAAAAACTTTAACCGTGAATAAGATATAAGCTCGATATTCGCGCGAAACACGTGTGGAGAACAAAATGAATATTTCAACGGGCATTTTATCATCCACAGAGTGAAATTCAAGACAGTCAAATGATTCATAAAGGATACTTGTTGTACATTCCTCTGTGTGGCAGTATCAGGAGACTGTGACTCTTTCAACAGCTGAAGGATTTGTCGGAGACCATTCTCCTCCGGCTGCCACGCCATCTTGCCCATTTGATCTTTACGTTAAAATAGTTTCGGGAATGATCGTCGAGTTCCGGTAAGTAATGCAATCCGGAAGCTGCCGGAAAGAACCGACTCCATGACGCTACAAAATGGTGGACAACGAATAACAAGACATCGTTACAGGTGAAAATAGGTTAGATATTGAAATACATGCGTTTTTGTAATGTAAAGTAACCCAATGTAATAACACTACTCTTACGATAATCATTACAAATGGAATGAGCTTCCTCCTTTTTTCAGGCCAATAAAGGCAATATCCCACAAAATATTCATACCAGCACTGTCACTGATTAGACTTTGTCTTCAAAACAATCTTTTGAAAGTATTTCCGCTTTTTTATCTTCCTCTGGCTGTTTAAGATTGCTGAAGTTGGTCTATATCCTTATAAAGTAGAAGTTTAGTGTAGTGCAGTATCGTTTGGACATCTGTTCCAGACCGTCATGTTGGCCTATTTCGGAACGGACAATTTGTCGAGCCATATCACATAAACTATTGACCTTCGTGGCCTTGCACAATTAAACCATTCACTAAAGAATACCATGAGTATATAATTTTTTGGCAAATTTACATATTTGTATGGTTGCAGTTAATTAACAGAGCGTACCTAGCGAAAAATTATTCTTCAGGGGTCTGAAACTGATGCACCAAGTATAAATACTCGGACAAGATTGTGACATGGTTTCATTACCAACGAAATCTAACAAATTTTCAAAGCTAAAAAAAATTAAGAAATAAAACGAAAAAAGTAAATGACAACTTACTTAATACTCTATGAGATATCCTTTTAGTCAGATAACACTTAATAGTCTCTTTGGAATTATCAATGGAAGTGCTTTCCATTGGAGTAATCTTTGACCAAATGCTCAGAATTTCACAACAACAGATCATCCTTACTCCTGATCCTTCCAACACCCGCCTGAAGTTTAACCATAATTTTTTAATATATTGTTTCTGGACTTCATGCTGGCCGATTCATCAATGTAACTCCATGTTTATGCATATAATTTTGGGTAGAATGTGCACGGTGACAAGGACATTGTCATCCTGAAATATATCATTTCCCATAGAAAAATGGCATGCTAATACTAGCCACAAATTGTCTTCAAGAATTTCCTGGTACTTAACAGCAGTTATGTTAACATTTACTGCCATGAAAGTCAAGTCAAAGGCATACCTTCCAACTTTCCCGATTCAGTTGAGAGTTTCCCAATTTTTAACTCCCTATCCCCACCTCCGAATCATATGGATCCAAATTGGGGTAATCTTACAATTTCAGAGATCCTGCTGGGTAGGTCATAATTATATATATAAATGACCTTGCTATATTTGTCAAATAGGAACAGTAACAAGTAAGACTGACCACCTGGCCACATAATCAAGGCCTAACAATGTAAGTGCACTGCCCAATTATCTAATTAGAGTCACCTGAATTAATCCTTGCTGACCACTAGGCTTGGGAACACTTGTACAGTTGACCCATTTAATGGTAAACCATTGGTTAGGACACACGAGAGGACCCTGGCAAATACTCAGTTAAAATGAGGTAATTATGCAGATAATTAAGTAGTTCTAACTGTATACACGGTACCTATTAGTCCAAATAATAGATTCAAGAAGTGATAGTTTGGAAAACTTTAAAAACTTCTTGGTTGCATCCCGAGTGAAAATTAAACAGACTAGAAACATTTCACTTGCTGAAAATTTGACAAAAATTACAAGCATTTTAGGTTCTTCCCAAAAAACATGATGGTGGGCAAACAGGAAGTTGCTAAATGTATGCAAAGTAGCCTGACCATCTTCATGTAATTTCCAGACTATTTCTTTTATGTCATTGCTCAATTACTTTCCTTTTTGGCCTGTCCTTTCCAAGCTAACATAATTGTAAACAAAGCAGACCGCAAAAATTATTGAAAAAATGAAATGTCACATGATGCTGACATCCAAAAAACAACTCTTTGAAACACCAACCTGATTTGTAAAAAGTTTTATTCAGAGACAAAACCATCAGCTGTTTCCTGAAGTGTAAACATTCTGCCATCTGACATCCAAAAATAACTGTTTGAAACACCAACCTGATTTGTAAAAAGTTTTATTCAGAGACAAAACCATCAGCTGTTTCCTGAAGTGTAAACATTCTGCCATCTGACATACAAAAATAACTGTTTGAAACACCAACCTGATTTGTAAAAAGTTTTATTCAGGGACAAAACCATCAGCTGTTTCCTGAAGTGTAATCTTCTTATCCAAATAGTTATTGCACTACACCATAAATGTTTCTTAGGCAAACAATTTCCTTTCATGGTTCAAACAGTTCCTGGTACAGGGACTAGGCCTAACCTCAGCACATCAATTATCTGCTCTGTCATTAGAACTGATGACTGTAGATTCTATGATATCTGATTCGTAACTGGTTACCATGTTATTCTGAATCTCACCCATTCTTTCCAATTTGATCATGATGGCATCATATTTTAATTGTTGTGATGGAACAAGTATATAACAGTAACTTATATCTTTGGCACATTACTTTCAAACCCCTTAAGGTATGTCAAATGCTATACTACATTAATGAGATGTAATCAAACAAATACATAAATGTATTGAAATGTGTTCAGACATACCATAATATTCATATAATTAATTGTTCAGTTAAACTTTTTTTTTCAAAGTTTCCACAGATACCAAACAAAATGCACCAACCTGAAATGACAGAGAAATGTCAGTCATGAATAATCACAATTTTAATACAGTATTTTCAATATGAGATGAGCTTGTTTGGAATGCAGTAGAAAAAGAAATTGCAAGGAGGCATTGCCTAATATATTCATGGATGATTTTTGTTAATGTAAATGACAAACAATGACACAACGCTGTAGAAATCTTAAGCTGGATTACTAGGGCCTTTTATCCGGGATGATGTTTGTAAAAAGTATATTAAGAATAAGTACATATCAATGAAATATATAATTATGATATTTAATGACGAATTAATTTATAATCACAGTTTTTTTTCCAGTATATGTTACATGTAAATGCAGACAGCAACCAAAATCATTGAATGTGTTATCAAACAGGTCAATAGTTCAGTTGATGTCTCGTAATAGCTGGTATATTACAAAAACTGGTACATTACAATAACAGGTACAATACAATAACAGGTACATGATAATAACTGGTACATCACAATAACTGGTACATGATAATAACTGGTATATTACAAAAACTGGTACATTACAATAACTGGTACATGATAATAACTGGTACATTACAATGACTGGTACATCACAATAACTGGTACATGATAATAACTGGTACATTACAATTACTGGTACATCACAATAACTGGAACATGACAATAACTTGTACATCACAATAACTATCAGAATAACTGGTACAATACAATAACTGGTACATGATAATAACTGGTATATTACAATAACTTGTACATGATAATAACTGGTACATCACAATAACTGGTACATGATAATAACTGGTACATGATAATAACTGGTACATTACAAAAACTGGTACATTACAATGACTGGTACATGATAATAACTGGTACATCACAATAACTGGTACATGATAATAACTGGTACATGATAATAACTTGTACATTACAATAACTGGTACATGATAATAACTGAAACATTACAATGACTGGTACATCACAATAACTGGTACATGATAATAGCTGGTACATCACAATAACTGGTACAATACAATAACGGGTACATGATAATAAGTGGTATACAACAATAACTGGTACATCACAATAACTGGTACATGATAATAACTGGTATATAACAAAAACTGGTACATTACAGTAACTGGTACATGATAATAACTGGTACATTACAATGACTGGTACATCACAATAACTGGTACATGATAATAACTGGTATATAACAAAGACTGGTACATCACAATAATTGTTACATGATGATAACTTGTACATTACAATAACTGGTACATGATAATAACTGAAACATTACAATGACTGGTACATCACAATAACTGGTACATGATAATAACTGGTATATAACAAAAACTGGTACATCACAATAACTGGTACATCACAATAACTGGTACATGATAATTGCTGGTACATGACAATAACTGGTACATCACAATAATTTGTACATTGCAGATTGGTTCATTTCAATAACTGGTTCATTACAATAACTTGTACATTGCAGTAACTGGTTCATTACAATAACTGGTTCATTACAATAACTGGTTCATTACAATAACTGCTTCATTACAATAACTTGTACATTGCAGTAGCTGGTTCATTACAATAACTGGTTCATTACAATAACTGGTACATTACAATAACTGGTATATCACAATAACTGCTTCATCACAATAACTTGTACATTGCAGTAGCTGGTTCATTACAATAACTGGTTCATTACAATAACTGCTACATTACAATAACTGGTATATCACAATAACTGGATCATGTACCAGATATTATGGTGTAGTAATATATAATTATTTAGCAAAGCATGTTCAGGTTTTGTTTCTGGATTTTGTAGAGAAGAACAATGGAAGTTTATAGGAAGAAGGAAGTAGTTCCTCTCCTTGAACGTGAATTTACGTTTCATCCCATGAATTCACAGAAGGAACAAAAGACATTTCAAGATGAACAAGAAACTGATGAAGTGGAAGAGAAATTTGAAGAAGAGATCCTGGCGATGGAAAACAGAAAGTGGAGGGGCGTGTCTTTGGTTTGGCAGGATGCTATTTTGCTGACACTTGACTTTCTACAGATATTTGCACTGATTCAGTCCATGGCCCTTCGCTGGACTTATTCATCTGACTGGCTGCAAAAGGGATATTTTTTCTTCTTGTTCAATTTGGATGTTTGGGAGTTCACCAAGCTTCATAACAATGTTTGGATTGATGTTAAGAGCTACTACACACCCAGTGCATCTGTCCCTTTGTCCTTCTGGTATATCACAGTCGGCTGGTTTTCTGGCATAGTAGGTTTAATTCTTTTGTTTGTGGCATTCTATGCTTTCTTAAAAATCCATCAGCCCAGACGACTCGGGAACAAGTTGGCATGGGTACGACGTATATTCTTTTACCTGGTGCAAATTCTTACACTTCCAATGGGAACAACCATCGGCCACCTTCTCCAATGTACAAACGGCAATGTAGTGGATGTGATGAACGACGTGGAGTGTTTTACAGGGATACACTGGCTGTATGTTACATTTGGCATCATCATTGCTATTTTTCTGTTCATTGTGTTCCCTGCCTATGTTGTTTTTAAGGTACGGAGGGAGTCTGTTGGTTCTTGTAGCAAACACCATGAGTCATTTCTGCTTCTGAAGGAGTCAGAGTATAAAATCGGATTAGGTAAAGCCTGGTTGTACAGCGATATGTACTTGTATTCGTCGTTTCGCTTCTGGGGTATATACCATAGAGTAGTTGTACAGATCGTGAAGATGATTTTGTTGATCATTTATGTGGCAACATTTAAGAATATTGTTACCCAGGCCTGGACTGTTGCTGCATTCCTCGCTATTTTCTTTGTCTTCTTCATCTTCATCCGACCTTACAGATTAACGAGTTTCAACATCATGCTTGGGATGAGTTATCTCCTCTTGTTAGGCCTCACCCTGATCGGAGCTATGAAGACTGAGTTCAATGCCTATACTCTAGATAATCCTTGGATGACACCCAGCTACAGTATGTGGCTTATTGGTTTGTGTATGGTATGCTGGGCCCTGATCTGGGTTGTATTTGTTATATATCTCATGTTCTATAAGGTACGCCATTGTTGTAATAGCAACAAACTGCCACTGTGGCCAACTTTTACCAGCTCTGACGAGGATTACATCAGTCCAGAAGCTAGAAAGTTCCTCAAGACTTTCCTCAGAGCTCGCATCATTCTGGGTAGGTTTGCAGTGTGTACCATAATTATCAATTAATTAGCCAGGATTTAGATTTTTTTTTTAGAATCATAACTCACTCATAATATATTTACCAACAAATAGCATTGTGATATAATAACACCCCCACCCCCTCACCTATTTAGAAATAAACATTTAAGTTTTAAGTTTAAACAATTGCATGAAGAGATTGTATTCTATTTGATATTTTTTTCTAACTTCACTTTTTTAATTTACAAATATTTTTCATTTTGCAGACAAAACTAAGGAGTCGCCTCCCATATTTGCTCAAGTTCATGACCTTGCTCAGCAGATCAAGGTTCTGAATGTTTTTTGTCGTGAAGCTGAATGCCTTGGTGATGCCCTTCATGGCATCATGTGGGACCTACTGGACGAGATGATTGATGTGCACTCTGACCTCTCACAGAAATCCCTGTTTGCTGGTCAGTTTTTGATGACTAGACATAAATTTATAATCAAAGTGTAATGTTGAAGTGTGTTGTGTTTGATATGTTTTATGACATGCCAAATATGTAGTGAGGTATGCTGTGTGGTATGTGAGGTATGTAGTGTGGTATGTGAGGTATGTTGTGTGGTGTGTGAAGTATATAGTGTGGTATGTGAGGTATGCAGTGAGGTATGTGAGGTATGTAGTGTGGTATGTGAGGTATGTAAGTATGATGTGTGGTATGTGAGGTATGCAGTGTGTTGCCAATTAGTATTGCCATTCTAACGTAATATACACTTTTTTGTGTCATTACAGAGACTGTAAAGGAGTCGATACGCTACACATCCCAAGAATTCCTCAAACTCATGCCATCCTTTACACAGAGGTTAGCGCAGCGTGACTATGACTTCATCCTCATCAATCCTGTGAAAAAACGCATGCTCCTCAAGATGTATTGCATGGGTAGGTCAAAGATCCATCAAGAATTTGTACAAAAATCTTTTGACTCCCTTTATACATGTTATGTGTCACTAGGATCCAGATAACGTACTGGTTATGTTGTTATTTATTGATCTACTTCAGTGACATAATTGTGAATTCTACCTTGAAAATAAACTGTTCCTTTGATATCTTGATAGTTAATACAAATATTCAAACATGACCAGTATAACAATTTTTAATATCAACTGGAAGATCATGTTTTACAATAATTTTGTTATTGGTATATGGCTTTCCTCTCTCAATATTAGCTGATATTGTGGATGTTTGAAAAATGTTGACTTTTATACACCTGTCAAAATTTTCAAGAGACTTTTTTAAAAATGATGTTGTTACTCTGTTTGTCTGTAGTAAACTTTGATTTGTCCAGAGATTTCTTCCTTTGCCTTTGTTTTCCTGTCTGGTATTTGATATTTTGGATCCAAACAGTTTATAAGTTTTCTAAAATTTGGACTGTTAACTAGTGAAAGTGGCATCAAATCTCCTGCAATGAAGTAAATTAAGGCATCTGTTATCTGACTGTGACGTGGATCATTTACAGAATATTTGTTGGTTGTCAAAACATATCTGTTCATACGAGTCTGGTCAACTTTTGATGGTGATGAGGACGAAGTCTCCTTGAGGGTCATATACTCATCCCTGTGCTTCCGCTGAAAAAAGGAACATCTTTTGTAGTTTGGGATATGCATATATAGTAACATGAGTGTGCATTTGAAATAACTGAAATTGAGTTAAATGAGCTAAAACAAACATCTTAAACCAAGCAAATTATAGTATAAAAGGGATTATAACTGAGCTGCTAGTTAGTGTGCTTCTTACTTTTGATGTGGTAATACACAAAAGGATACATGTAGCTAATTTTTAAAAGATATATTTTTTTTGCTTTTACTTTTAAAAGTTGAATTGAGAAACATTTGTAAAGCACTAAGTTAAACAAAATTATGTCTAAGAAGTAAATGGGTTTGTAAAAGAAATTTTTTACTTACCTTTAAATGGGTGAGAAAATTAGAGGTAGTTTTTGTGCTTCCCGAGATTACTGAGGTGTATATTTTGCACTTTGCTTTTATTGGCCCTTCAACTCCAGGTGGAACATCAAAATATAGAAGTGGTGTTTTTTTCGACATGATGGCAAGAAATGAAATGAAAACCTTCAAGTGTTTTCATAAATTCTCACTTGAAACTAACATATACCACCTGACCTGTTCAGTGTTCTTAAAAGTTCTCACTTTTACTTACATATGTATAGCACCTGACCTGTGTTCAGTGTTGTGGAAAGATATTCCTTTTCTGGGCTGCAAAACCCATGTCCACTCTGGTTATAAAAACTCATTATCTCATAATTATTAACTGGTGACCATAGCCCACAGGTACAGTCAATTTAAAGGTCGGAGTACAGGTAAACAATTATTAATTAATATAAATGATCCAGTGGCCTTTAAAAATCAATATATTTTTTGTTCTACATTGGCTTTTAAAATCTTTTTGTTGTAGTTTGCCTACGAAGATATAACTTCATAATCATGGTAATGTTAATTGGTCCTCAAGTAATTTAAAACCTGAATTAAAATACAACTAAAACACAAATAATAAATAAATATAGGGAAAAAAATTCAATACATTTAAAGCTATTTTCGACATTCACTCGTAATTTAAATGTAATCATGCTTACGTAATCAGAAAGTAATCAAAAAGTAATCAGAATTACAGGAAATTCTAGACCTGTAATTGATTAAATTACAATACAAGTAATCAGATTTTCCATGATTACTGATTACATTTGATTACATGCAAAAATGTAATCAATTACAGCTGATTACAATTACAATTACTGATTACCACATGTCTGTCCGGCCAGTGTCTGTGTTGATGAACGGCCAGTGTCTGTGTTGATGAACGGCCAGTGTCTGTGTTGATGAACGGCCAGTGTCTGGTGATGAACGGCCAGTGTCTGTGTTGATGAACGGCCAGTGTCTGTGGTGATGAACGGCCAGTGTCTGTGTTGATGAACGGCCAGTGTCTGGTGATGAACGGCCAGTGTCTGTGTTGATGAACGGCCAGTGTCTGTGGTGATGAACGACCAGTGTCTGGTGATGAACGACCAGTGTCTGTGTTGATGAACGGCCAGTGTCTGGTGATGAACGGCCAGTGTCTGCGGCGATGAACGGCCAGTGTCTGTGGTGATGAACGGCCAGTGTCTGTGTTGATGAACGGCCAGTGTCTGTGGTGATGAATGGCCAGTGTCTGTGTTGATGAACGGCCAGTGTCTGTGTTGATGAACGGCCAGTGTCTGTGGTGATGAATGGCCAGTGTCTGTGTTGATGAACGGCCAGTGTCTTTTGATGAACGGGCAGTGTCTGTGGTGATGAACGGCCAGTGTCTGTGGTGATGAACGGCCAGTGTCTGTGGTGATGAACGGCCAGTGTCTTGTGATGAACGGCCAGTGTCTGTGGTGATGAACGGCCAGTGTCTGGTGATGAACGGCCAGTGTCTGTGGTGATGAACGGCCAGTGTCTGTGGTGATGAACGGCCAGTGTCTTGTGATGAACGGCCAGTGTCTGTGTTGATGAACGGCCAGTGTCTGGTGATGAACGGCCAGTGTCTGTGGTGATGAATGGCCAGTGTCTGTGGTGATGAATGGCCAGTGTCTGTGGTGATGAATGGCCAGTGTCTGTGTTGATGAACGGCCAGTGTCTGGTGATGAACGGCCAGTGTCTGTGGTGATGAACGGCCAGTGTCTGTGGTGATGAACGGCCAGTGTCTTGTGATGAACGGCCAGTGTCTGTGTTGATGAACGGCCAGTGTCTGGTGATGAACGGCCAGTGTCTGTGGTGATGAATGGCCAGTGTCTGTGTTGATGAACGGCCAGTGTCTTTTGATGAACGGGCAGTGTCTGTGTTGATGACTGGCCAGTGTCTGTGGTGATGAATGGCCAGTGTCTGTGTTGATGAACGGCCAGTGTCTTTTGATGAACGGGCAGTGTCTGTGGTGATGAACGGCCAGTGTCTGTGTTGATGAACGGCCAGTGTCTTGTGATGAACGGCCAGTGTCTGTGGTGATGAACGGCCAGTGTCTATGGTGATGAACGGGCAGTGTCTGTGGTGATGAACGGCCAGTGTCTTGTGATGAACGGCCAGTGTCTGTGGTGACGAACGGCCAGTGTCTGTGGTGACGAACGGCCAGTGTCTGGTGATGAACGGCCAGTGTCTGTGGTGATGAACGGCCAGTGTCTTGTGATGAACGGCCAGTGTCTGGGTTGATGAACGGCCAGTGTCTGGTGATGAACGGCCAGTGTCTGTGGTGATGAATGGCCAGTGTCTGTGGTGATGAACGGCCAGTGTCTGTGGTGATGAACGGGCAGTGTCTGTGGTGATGAACGGCCAGTGTCTGTGGTGATGAACGGCCAGTGTCTTGTGATGAACGGCCAGTGTCTGTGTTGATGAACGGCCAGTGTCTGTGGTGATGAATGGCCAGTGTCTGTGTTGATGAACGGCCAGTGTCTGTGTTGATGAACGGCCAGTGTCTGTGGTGATGAATGGCCAGTGTCTGTGTTGATGAACGGCCAGTGTCTTTTGATGAACGGGCAGTGTCTGTGGTGATGAACGGGCAGTGTCTGTGGTGATGAACGGGCAGTGTCTGTGGTGATGAACGGGCAGTGTCTGTGTTGATGAACGGCCAGTGTCTGGTGATGAACGGCCAGTGTCTGTGGTGATGAACGGCCAGTGTCTTGTGATGAACGGCCAGTGTCTGTGTTGATGAACGGCCAGTGTCTGGTGATGAACGGCCAGTGTCTGGTGATGAACGGCCAGTGTCTGTGGTGATGAATGGCCAGTGTCTGGGTTGATGAACGGCCAGTGTCTGTGTTGATGAACGGCCAGTGTCTGGTGATGAACGGCCAGTGTCTGTGGTGATGAACGGCCAGTGTCTGTGGTGATGAACGGCCAGTGTCTGTGGTGATGAACGGCCAGTGTCTTGTGATGAACGGCCAGTGTCTGTGTTGATGAACGGCCAGTGTCTGGTGATGAACGGCCAGTGTCTGTGGTGATGAATGGCCAGTGTCTGTGTTGATGAACGGCCAGTGTCTTTTGATGAACGGGCAGTGTCTGTGTTGATGACTGGCCAGTGTCTGTGTTGATGAACGGCCAGTGTCTTTTGATGAACGGGCAGTGTCTGTGGTGATGAACGGCCAGTGTCTGTGGTGATGAACGGCCAGTGTCTGTGTTGATGAACGGCCAGTGTCTTGTGATGAACGGCCAGTGTCTGTGGTGATGAACGGCCAGTGTCTGTGGTGATGAACGGGCAGTGTCTTGTGATGAACGGCCAGTGTCTTGTGATGAACGGCCAGTGTCTGTGGTGATGAACGGCCAGTGTCTGTGGTGATGAACGGCCAGTGTCTGGTGATGAACGGCCAGTGTCTGTGGTGATGAACGGCCAGTGTCTTGTGATGAACGGCCAGTGTCTGTGTTGATGAACGGCCAGTGTCTGGTGATGAACGACCAGTGTCTGTGGTGATGAACGGCCAGTGTCTGTGGTGATGAACGGCCAGTGTCTGTGGTGATGAACGGCCAGTGTCTTGTGATGAACGGCCAGTGTCTGTGTTGATGAACGGCCAGTGTCTGGTGATGAACGGCCAGTGTCTGTGGTGATGAATGGCCAGTGTCTGTGTTGATGAACGGCCAGTGTCTTTTGATGAACGGGCAGTGTCTGTGTTGATGACTGGCCAGTGTCTGTGGTGATGAATGGCCAGTGTCTGTGTTGATGAACGGCCAGTGTCTTTTGATGAACGGGCAGTGTCTGTGGTGATGAACGGCCAGTGTCTGTGGTGATGAACGGCCAGTGTCTGTGTTGATGAACGGCCAGTGTCTTGTGATGAACGGCCAGTGTCTGTGGTGATGAACGGCCAGTGTCTGTGGTGATGAACGGGCAGTGTCTGTGGTGATGAACGGCCAGTGTCTTGTGATGAACGGCCAGTGTCTGTGGTGATGAACGGCCAGTGTCTGTGGTGATGAACGGCCAGTGTCTGGTGATGAACGGCCAGTGTCTGTGGTGATGAACGGCCAGTGTCTGTGGTGATGAACGGCCAGTGTCTGTGTTGATGAACGGCCAGTGTCTTGTGATGAACGGCCAGTGTCTGTGGTGATGAACGGCCAGTGTCTGTGGTGATGAACGGGCAGTGTCTGTGGTGATGAACGGCCAGTGTCTTGTGATGAACGGCCAGTGTCTGTGGTGATGAACGGCCAGTGTCTGTGGTGATGAACGGCCAGTGTCTGGTGATGAACGGCCAGTGTCTGTGGTGATGAACGGCCAGTGTCTTGTGATGAACGGCCAGTGTCTGTGTTGATGAACGGCCAGTGTCTGGTGATGAACGGCCAGTGTCTGTGGTGATGAACGGCCAGTGTCTGTGGTGATGAACGGCCAGTGTCTGTGTTGATGAACGGCCAGTGTCTGGTGATGAACGGGCAGTGTCTGTGGTGATGAATGGCCAGTGTCTGTGGTGATGAACGGGCAGTGTCTGTGGTGATGAACGGCCAGTGTCTGTGGTGATGAACGGCCAGTGTCTTGTGATGAACGGCCAGTGTCTTGTGATGAACGGCCAGTGTCTGTGTTGATGAACGGCCAGTGTCTGGTGATGAACGGCCAGTGTCTGTGGTGAGTGACCAATGTTGTTTTGTTGTAGGGATTTTTCTGAATGGTCGAACTGAGAAGATAACCAAAGCTCAGATGCTGACCAAACCTGCTCTAGACACTATCTGGCAGGAAACTGACCACAGGAGTGACGTGGAAGGTCAGTATTTTAACAATGAGATGTATTAGTTATACTTGGGTATGATTCCTATCATGTGTACAATCGTTATCTAGGGTTAGCTGGTGGCAACTAAACTTAAGCCTTTTAAAACATCTTGTAGAGACCCTACCATGTAGCCTGCATTGACAGATTGTCCACAAGTATTAGGTTAAATGATGTATAACAGTATGCTGATCACAGAACAGTATCTTATACTGAGTAGCCAAATATACCTGTGGGTACACATCACAGTGAACAGTGACCACTGTTTATTCTCTCTCCTCAGTGGACTAAGATGTTGAATGGTGACATTTTGAGCTACCATGTTAACTTTCCCTGAAAAAATGGCTTGTAAAATGCTTTCGTTAAGAAAAAAACAGAAAGTCCAGTTCACAGGTAGCTTGCAAATCTTAAGGAATTCCCAGGTGTAAAATAAGTGTAAAGTCAGTGAGATATATGCAGGGAGTCACAACGTAAGGGACCAAGGCAAATATATGAGTAAGATTTGAGAAAGAATCATCCAGTATTTTTCAAGTAACAGTGATAACAAACTTTAGATCCAAGATGGTTGCCCAGTAATGATTTTGTTTTTCCAATCAGTCTCAAAATGATGTTGACAAAATCAGAAACAATTGTGAACATAATGAAATTCGGAAAAGATTCATAAAGTATATTCCAAGATATAATGACAACAGGAATTGTGTAAAATGCTTTAAAATAAAAACATTTCAAAGTGAGACAGGTGTCCCAGATATACAGTGGTATATATATATTACAGAGGGTTACTATGAAGACCTGTATCCGGACCCCTTGGAAATCCAATCGGAATCTTCAGTCGACTTGTCCTTGGAAAGTGCAGACTCCGATGATGTAAGCTTTACCTCCACAGTTAGAAAACTCAGAAAATTTACTCTGTAATATACAGAAGCTGTTTACACTGTCATAGCAAAACCCTGAAAATTTACTCTGTGATAAACAGAAGCTGTTTACACTGTCATAAGCAAAACCCAGAAAATTTACACTGTGATAAACATAAAACCAGAAAGTTCACATTGTGTTGAACAGAACCTCAGAAAGTTTTCACTGTGATAAAGAGAACCTCAGAAAGTTTACACTGAGATAAAGAGAACCTCAGAAAGTTAACACTGTGATATACAGAACCTCAGACAGTTTACACTGTGATATACAAAACCTCAGAAAGTTAACACTGTGATAAAGAGAACCTCAGAAAGTTAACACTGTGATATACAGAACCTCAGACAGTTTACACTGTGATATACAGAACCTCAGACAGTTTACACTGTGATATACAGAACCTCAGAAAGTTTACACTGTGATATACAGAAGCTGTTTACACTGTCATAAGCAAAACCCAGAAAATTTACTCTGTGATAAACAGAAGCTGTTTACACTGTCATAGCAAAACCCAGAAAATTTACTCTGTGATAAACAGAAGCTGTTTACACTGTCATAGCAAAACCCAGAAAATTTACTCTGTGATAAACAGAAGCTGTTTACACTGTCATAAGCAAAACCCAGAAAATTTACTCTGTGATAAGCAGAAGCTGTTTACACTGTCATAGCAAAACCCAGAAAATTTACTCTGTGATAAACAGAAGCTGTTTACACTGTCATAGCAAAACCCAGAAAATTTACTCTGTGATAAACAGAAGCTGTTTACACTGTCATAAGCAAAACCCAGAAAATTTACACTGTGATAAACATAAAACCAGAAAGTTCACATTGTGTTGAACAGAACCTCAGAAAGTTTACACTGTGATAAAGAGAACCTCAGAAAGTTTACACTGAGATAAAGAGAACCTCAGAAAGTTTACACTGTGATAAAGAGAACCTCAGAAAGTTTACACTGTGATAAAGAGAACCTCAGAAAGTTTACACTGAGATATACAAAACCTCAGAAAGTTAACACTGTGATAAAGAGAACCTCAGAAAGTTTACACTGTGATATACAGAACCTCAGACAGTTTACACTGTGATAAACAGAACCTAAGAAAGTTTACACTGTGATAAACAGAACATCGGAAAGTTTACACTGTGATAAACAGAACCTCAGAAAGTTTACACTGTGATATACAGAACCTCAGAAAGTTTACACTGTGATAAACAGAACTTCAGAAAAGTTGACACTGTGATATACAAAACCTCAGAAAGTTTACACTGTGATATACAAAACTTCAGAAAGTTTACACTGTGATAAACAGAACATCGGAAAGTTTACACTGTGATAAACAGAACCTCAGAAAGTTTGCACTGTGATAAACAGAACCTCAGAAAGTTTACACTGTGATAAACAGAACCTCAGAAAGTTTACACTGTGATAAACAGAACATCGGAAAGTTTACACTGTGATAAACAGAACCTCAGAAAGTTTACACTGTGATATACAGAACCTCAGAAAGTTTACACTGTGATAAACAGAACTTCAGAAAAGTTGACACTGTGATATACAAAACCTCAGAAAGTTTACACTGTGATATACAAAACTTCAGAAAGTTTACACTGTGATAAACAGAACATCGGAAAGTTTACACTGTGATAAACAGAACCTCAGAAAGTTTGCACTGTGATAAACAGAACCTCAGAAAGTTTACACTGTGATAAACAGAACCTCAGAAAGTTTACACTGTGATAAACAGAACATCGGAAAGTTTACACTGTGATAAACAGAACCTCAGAAAGTTTACACTGTGATATACAGAACCTCAGAAAGTTTACACTGTGATAAACAGAACTTCAGAAAAGTTGACACTGTGATATACAAAACCTCAGAAAGTTTACACTGTGATATACAAAACTTCAGAAAGTTTACACTGTGATAAACAGAACATCGGAAAGTTTACACTGTGATAAACAGAACCTCAGAAAGTTTGCACTGTGATAAACAGAACCTCAGAAAGTTTACACTGTGATAAACAGAACCTCAGAAAGTTTACACTATGATATACAGAACTTCAGAAAAGTTTACACTGTGATATACAAAACCTCAGAAAGTTTACACTGTGATAAACAGAACCTCAGAAAGTTTACACTGTGATAAACAGAACCTCAGAAAGTTTACACTGTGATAAACAGAACCTCAGAAAGTTTACACTGTGATATACAGAACCTCAGAAAGTTTACACTGTGATAAAGAGAACCTCAGAAAAGTTTACACTGTGATATACAAAACCTCAGAAAGTTTACACTGTGATAAAGAGAACCTCAGAAAAGTTTACACTGTGATATACAAAACCTCAGAAAATTTACACTGAGATATACAAAACATCAGAAAGTTTACATTGTGATATACAGAACCTCAGAAAGTTTACACTGTGATAAACAGAACCTCAGAAAAGTTTACACTGTGATATACAAAACCTCAGAAAGTTTACACTGTGATAAACAGAAACTCAGAAAAGTTTACACTGTGATATACAAAACCTCAGAAAGTTTACACTGTGATAAACAGAACCTTAGAAAGTTTACACTGTGATAGACAGAACCTCCGAAAGTTTACACTGTGATATACAAAACCTCAAAAAGTTTACAGTGTGATAAACAGAACCTCAGAAAGTTTACACTGTGATATACAAAACCTCAGAAAGTTTACACTGTGATGAAGAGAACCTCAGAAAGTTTACACTGTGATATACAAAACCTCAGAAAGTTTACACTGAGATATACAAAACCTCAGAAAGTTTACACTGTGATATACAGAACCTCAGAAAGTTTACACTGTGATAAACAGAACCTCAGAAAAGTTTACACTGAGATATACAGAACCTCAGAAAGTTTACACTGTGATATACAAAACCTCAGAAAGTTTACACTGTGATATACAAAACCTCAGAAAGTTTACACTGTGATAAAGAGAACCTCAGAAAGTTTACACTGTGATATACAAAACCTCTGAAAGTTTACAGTGATAGATATAACCTTTAAAAGTTAAAATTCTAATGTCTAATTTCTATGGTTGATCATCAGTGAGAAGATGTAGTTTAGATATAAAGCTTATTTAAGGCTTTCTGATGTTATACATAGGATATGCCTTTTATTACAGGATGTCAGCTTCAACAGAATGTATGGACAACTTCCTCAGGTGGAGACCCTCAAACCAGATTTCTATCGGTAATTCTAACTAAATTTTCTTTGCCTACTAGAAATGGACTTATTAATAGACCTCACCTAATTAATGGAAAGTGGTGTGTGTGTTTTCTATAGCAGTCACTTTCTCTGTCCTTCAGTCTGTTTATCTCCATCCATGGAAGGTATGTAAGCCAACTTTGGCATGTGATTTACATATGTTGTCAAGGAAGTGTTGTTCTGGTCTTTACTTACCTGTGTCCCTCAAATGTGACTGTGAATGTAAATTGTTGAAAACTAGTTATATTGCAGAAATCCTGTATGTTAGTAGTTGTTTTAGAAGGTTGGTTTATATTATATAAGGCCCTGATCACTTTGTCTACTTTTATAAAAAAAAGGTCTTATCTAGAAATGATTTAATGTCACTGGTGACAACACAAAAGGCAAGATAGTATTCCAACAATAAGCCCATGTCTAGTAATAAGCCAACCCATATATTATGCCATCCAGTAGCATTACCAAAGATAATTCTTTCAATATCAATAAGCCCATCTCAGACCTAGCATTACAGGTAATGTGTTTGTCCATTAGGCATATTGTCTTGTTATAAGAGCCCCGCCCCTTGGCTTTAAGTTGCAACCTTACAGGGTATGTGTTGTTCCATTAGGCATATTGTCTTGTTTTAGGACCCCCCTTAATGTTGAGTTACAGCCTTAAACATATTATGTTTGTCCACTGGGCTTATTGTCTTGTTAAAAGGCTCCCTCCACGACTTTACAGGCAATGTAATGGTATTCTGGGCTTAATGTCCCACCCATAATAAGGCAGTCCCTGACTTAGCATTACTGGGGCTGTGTTGGTCCACTGGGCTTATTTTTTTACAGACAATATACCATCAGTAAACCCTTTAAAATTTTGTTTTTCAGATCAATGAATTCCCCGCGCCCTGGATCTGGATCTTCTGCATCACTCCGCCCTGATTCCGCTTTGTCTATAACACGTCCAGGGTCAGCGTCATCGCAGATTCGTTCTGGATTAGCAGCATCCCTTCCCAGGTCTGCAGCCTCTCTCCAGCACCCTTCATCTGGCTTCTTTCAGCGCCCATCGTCTGGTAACTCACATGGGAGTCAGGGCCATGATAATCCAGGGTTTATTCCGGAGGAGGAAGAGGCCCTACCGGGGTACATAGAAGCAGTTGGTGATCGTCCAGCCAGTCGAGAGAGCATCAGTGTCATTGATAGTAAACAAACCGGTTAGTTGTAACTCTATAGTTTATGAAAAAATCAATCTTTTCAATGATATATTAATGATAAGAAAAGTGTCATAAAGTTGCAAATGAAATTCTTTATCTACTCTTGTTTATCTGAAAAATGAAAATAGCCCACAGCCAATATGTAAGAAATGTGTTTTTTGGGTTTTTTTTCTAGATTTGGGGCCTGAAGGGAATAATATACCAGACTTGTTACAAGCTGCTGATGCTGTGATCGACATGGAAACACCAGCCATACCATCACATGATTCTCCAAAAAAGAAAAAATTGATGAAGAGAAGTTCAAGAAACAAACTGGCTGGTAGACGAGAATCTAATGCCTAAGATCTGTGAGGAAGTCTATATTGAAAGGACAGACAAAAGAAAAATACCTTTATTATTATTGAAACAGGCACCAAATGCAAAACCTGACCAATTTTGTTTTTAAAGGTCGTGAAGCGATAGCTCCAATAAATCATGATGTTGGAGAACTGAAAATTTGAAACTGATTATTTGACATTTGTTGCAAAGAAAGTCACAACCTTTTGAATAGACATGTACTTATATCATGTGGTTTAATGAATTTGTTAATTAAAGAACTAATTACAGTTTTTTTATATATATATATAACCTAGCATGAAAAATAGGTCACATTTTGTATAATCAAAAAGCAAACTATTTTTACTAATGATTTTTTGTAAGCTATGATATTTCAAAAATGACATGTTGATGTATTTGTCAATGAATTGTATGTCTTGTGATTAATATTTATCAATACCCCAGCATGAGCTTCATATTTCAGATTGTTGATCTAAAATAGTAATTACATTAGTATTTGTTTTTCTTGAAAATTTCAGAAATTCAAATTCTTCTCTTTGTGATTTTTTGAAATCAAAACTTCTAGCAGGTAAATGCTCAAAGAAGGAAAATAATAACATCGACACAAAAGAAAAACATGAAAAAAGTGACATTTCTTGTTGATAATTGCGTGTAAGTGCTGTGGTAGTGAAACATTTAACAGTCTACTGGACCCGAATCATAGCTTTTTAGGTAATCTCAGTCTCAAGATAACCTATTACGATTTCATTTTGTCCGGCATTGTGCATCATGCTTCGTAAACGTTTAACATTTTCAACCTGGAAAACCCCGAAACCGATTTCAATGAAAATTTCCAAAAATCTTCCATGGCTAATGACAACAATATTTTAAATTATATTGTCCCCAACCCCCAAGGGTCTGAGGGGCTGGGCCAAATATGGGCCAAATTGACTGAAATTTCAAAGATGTTTTACTATTCCTGGATGGAAAGCAGAAAATGTTATGCACAGTTTACATCATTTCTCTGACACGTTACAAGAAGCATTGTAACTAAGGTGACTGTTAAGACCCTTAGGCCTCTTGTTTAAATTTTAGATTGAAATTAAAATTTGACTTAATGCAGTGTTAAACCAAAATCTGAATATGCATGCCATCTGGCTGGGATAGTGCTATGCATTAAATATAGAGAAAACTGTTTGTTAAAAAGTGACAACCTGGTGTTATCTTCAGAGATTTTGTTTTACTGTTGATGATGTAGGTTTACATTGGTGGCAGGTCCACTGCTATTTTCTGTTTAATGATTCCAGGTGTGTTTATTAACAAGTAGGTTCAGGTTGTTTTGTTTTTTGTTGTAAAATTTTGTTTATTGTGTCACTAAGAATTTGTTTACTCTGTAATGTTATGTAAATGCAATGTAATTGTATATAGAATGCATCTCTGGTCGTCTTTGATAAAAAGTTTCAGCCAGACACACAGAACCAGACCTTGCTCTGGTTATTTATAGTAAAACAGTTATGTTTTAGCTATTTTAAGGCCCTGATATATGCAACTTTCACTAACAAAAAATTAAAGGAAAAAATGAATCTGTTTATGTTCATGGAGTAACAATTATCCAAACAAATAGAGTAACAATTATCCAAACAAATAGAGTAACAATTATCCAAACAAATAGAGTAACAATTATCCAAACAATATCTAAGAATATATTGTGCATTGACTTTTATATAAAAACAGCACCCTTTGTAACACGTGCCTCCATTTACAGTCATAGCTGAATGACTATACACTAGCATTCTACCTGTGATATTATATCATGGAAAGCACACGGCATATAAAACATTGTTTACCTGTAAACACTCCTAGGCCAAGTATGTACATTAAATAAGAATCCTAAAGTTTCTGACTCAGATTTGAAGGTCGAATAGACTGATTTTCCATCCAATCTTTATACATTTAGGGTTTTCTCTAACTAGGTATATAAAAACAATTTTGTGATTGCTTCTTCTCAGATAACAGCATAAAATGGTGTAATATCCATAAAGCAGCTTTAAAAATGGCATTGTCGTGTTGTGAAATCTGAAGTCACACTGACATCAAAGAATATATCAACTTTTTTGGACACCACTTTACTTTGTGTTTGGTTTGGATTTTGTTTCATTTTTTCTTCCTTTGAAAAATAATAAAAAGACAAATCAATGGTTTCCCATTAAATAGATACATTTCACTCGTTTCATACAATATATAAATATACTTTTCATGAGTGCGATATCCGCTGTGTATCATTTCATCACATTTTTTTTTAAATTAGTAAAAATTTCTCCATATTGGGAAGCATCATGTAATAAGATGTTTTATAGATTTTAATTTTTGTCAGTGACCAATTGTTTAAGTAATGACTTTTTATCAATAATATCTATAAATATCTTTTACATCTATGTATAGCATTTTATTCCGTCCTTTTAGTGCAATGCTAATAAAACTCCACCTTATGTTATAATATCCGTCCACCCTATGTTTGGCTGTAGTTAGTTATATACTTGAGAGCTGGGTCTCTATAATTCTTGACAGCTGTATGTATACAATGATAATTTCTATGATGTTACAATGATTACATAAATGTACAGCAGATTCCATTTAATGTCGTTACTTACGGAAGGAGATGTATGATGAAGAGAATTGAGATATAAAGTTAAGTATGATTTTAAGTGGGATCTTCTGAAAGGATATGCCTGTTTTTTTCAAGGCAGATATACCTGTGATCTGTTACCATTTAAAAGTTTATTAAAAAATGAACTTGGCCATAATTTGTAAGTAACAAAAAATTATATTTTTTATGTTAAATAATTTCGGATGTATTACAGTAATAAGAAAAAGATTTATATAACATTGTAAATAAAATTTTTTTCCATTCATTTCAGTTTCTTTGTTAAGCTTTTAATCATAAGTAATTTTCATAAGACCACTGACCTTTAGGATTATTTAGACAACATCTGTAGTCACTTACTGAATATCTAGCCCTGCAATATTATGAGCAGTTAATTGGTTCATAAACATGTTTATTGTTAACTGAGCTCATTAACTCAAAATTCCAGATGGCTACCCATCAGATATGGTGTTAGCTCACCTGGCACAAAGGGCCAGGTGAGCTTATAGCATAGTGTGGCAACCGTCATCCATCCATCATCATTTTAGGTCACTGGAGATAAAAGTGACCTATTGTGATCCCATTTTGTCTGGTGTCATGTGTGGCGTATCATGTGTCATAAACTTTTAATATTTTCACCTTCTTGGAAAACTACTGAACTGATTTTAATGAAATTTGACAAAAACCTGCCAAAAATGCACTGAATTTGTAAATTGTATGGTCCCAACCACCAGGGGCCTGAGGGGCTGGGCCAAAATGAGTCAAATTGATTGAAAACTTCAAAAACAAAACCCAGGGATGGTAGAATCAAGTACCCAACATGGATGGAAAGGCCTTCAGATGCTTTACCAAAATTGTAAATTTCCTGACCCAGAGTCACATTTCCAGCTGAGGAGGGGCTTAAGATCACGATAGTTTATATAGGAAGCTTAATTTTCTGAACTTTTTTTTCCTGTTGGTTATGATTATTTGGCTATGTGTCCCAAAGGGTCAGAATGATCTAAAGCCATCATGTTTCATCCATCATCATGCACTGTGTGTAAACTTTCCATTCCAATGACTTCTTGACAAAAAGTAAAATGCCCAGGATGCTAATATTGGACCTGTAGCATGTTTGGATGAAGGGCTACCAAGTTTGATAAAATGAATTAGGTTGACCCACTTTCAAGGTCACAGGAGTCAAAAGTGTTGAAATATTTTAACAACTTCTTCTCAATAACCAAAAGGCTGAGAGAACTGATATTGGGTTTGTAGCATGCTGGGATAAAGTGTTACCAATTTTGTTCATGTGATTGACTTTTTCTCTTTTTAAAGGTCAAAGGGGTCAAATGTGTTAAAATCTTCAAACCACCTCTTCTTCATAATTAAAAGGTCCAGGCTGTTGATTATTGGTTCATAGTTGATAAAGGGCTACCAATTTATTCAAATAATTGACTTTGATCAATAATCAAGGTTTGGTCAAACAGTGTGAGTTTTTAAAATTTCTTTTTAACAAGCAATAGGTCTGGAGTAATGATATTTTTGTAGTAGGATGTATAAAGGATGTGATTCAAGATTTGCAGAAAATAATTTTATAAACCAACAATGTCTTCTATGTAAGCTTTAGTGTAATTAAGCAATTTCCTTTAGGCCTATTTGGCCTCATTCATATATATGTCTTTACAGTCTGTGGGCCACTTGTTAATTTAGGATGACAGTTTGATGATATGCCCAAATTGACCTCCACTGGGCTCCAGGGGCTGTTGGATGGGGCCAAAAACTGGCCAAATTCACTGAAATTTCAAAAATCTTCTCAATACTGTCTGATGGTGCTTTACCAAAGTTGTAAATTTCCTTACCCTAGGGTCTTGTATTTACCCATGAGAAGGGGGTAAAATTTACTCTATTTTATATTGGAAAATAACATTTTTGAGTGTAATCTATTTGCTTTTATAAATAGTTCAAACTTGGTTAGAATTATTAGTATAAGCCCAGTTTAATGAGATTCACATATTGACCTCTAGTTTCTCTAGCGACAGTGAAGGCCTTTGGGCCTCTTGTTCTACAAATTGATACTAGTCATGAATGACTGAGAAGATTTGGCCATATTTGGTCAGAAGCCTCCTTCGGAGAAAGGGAACAAAATTTGTAGAAATGGTGGGTCCCCAGGGGCACGAGTTTCGGGGCCCAAAATGGGAAATTTTGCAAGATCTTGAAAACCTTTCTCCTGTTGGGGAATTGTTGCATTTTGCCTAGATTTGGTAACAAGAGGCCCAAGGGGCCTTAACGGTCACCTGAGGAATATATGTCAATATTCTGGGGATTTTAAAATGTTGCAAAAATGTAACAACACTTGTGCAGGACCATGTGTAAAACATCTGTACCAAGTTTGAACATGACCGACCCAATGGTTCTTGAGAGGAAGTCAATAATGTCTTAGCCAAACAGAGGCCAGGGTGGCCATCTTGGATTTTGAATCGCCCCCAAAAAGTTCAAACATTTGCCAGGACCTTGTGTAGAACATTTGTATCAAGTTTCCCCTTTTCCCCCCTATTGGGGCCACACCCTTTTTCTTCCCATGGTTCTTGAGAAGAAGTCATTTAAAGAAGGTTTTTACATATGGCCCCTTTTACACCCCTTATGGGCCCCAAAAGGGAAATAATCACTTTTTCAACATAATTTCATATGTCCTTCACTAAGGGATGCTCTCTACCAAATTTGGTTGAAATCGGTCAAAGTTGAATTTCTGACCCTTTTGAGTGACCCCTAGTGGGGCCGTTTTTGACCCGATTTTTTTTCTTTCGCAAACTTTGTAGACCTTGCCATAAGGACCCTAAATATCAAATATGAATTTAATCTGACTGTTGTTTTACCTAATTTTACCCCCTTTTCACCTCTCCTGGGGCCCCTATTGGGGCCACACCCTTTTTCTTCGCAAACTTGAAGCGGCTTCTCATGGGGATGCTTTGTGTCAAGTTTGGTCAAAATCCATCCCATGGTTCTTGAGAAGAAGTCATTTAAAGAAGGTTTTTACATATGGCCCCTTTTACACCCCTTATGGGCCCCAAAGGGGAAGTAATCACTTTTTTCAACATAATTTCATATGTCTTTCACTAAGGGATGCTTTCTACCAAATTTGGTTGAAATCGGTCAAAGTTGAATTTTTGACCCTTTTGAGCGCCCCAAGTGGGGCCGTTTTTGACCCAATTTTTTTTTTCTTTTGCAAACTTTGTAGACAGATTTAGCTAATTTTACCCCCTTTTCACCCCTTCTGGCGCCCCTATTGGTGCCACGTCCTTTTTCTTCACAACCTTGAATGAAGCGGCTTCCCATGGGGATGCTTTGTGCCAAGTTTGGTCAAAATCCATTCAGTGGTTCTTGAGAAGAAGTCAAATATGTGAAAAGTTAACAACGCACGACGACAGACAAATCATGATGGCAATAGCCTTCGGCTCAGGCGACCTAAAAAGCATTCTTGGGTGAAGAATCAGTTTTGTGTAAATGGTGGGTGACCCCCTAGGGACAGAGGGTTGGTGCTATATGGGAAAATAGGTATGGTGTGTGGTGATGGGTGCTTAGATATATTAGTTGTGATGAAGAAATTTCAGCAGAGCACAGCCATGTCAGAGATATAGGCCCTATGGGCCTAATGTTTTCTGTAAAATTGAGATGATTTAGTTTCAGCAAAGACCACAGATAAAAGGCAGTTTGTAGAGCTCACTATCTGATGACAACAGACAAAAAATAACAAAGTCATGAATGGACTTTCAACGATTTATTATTGGACTGTCTCTAGAGACAGTTCTAGACAAAGAAAATATAAGAGTGGGTCTATGGGTACATATGTAGTAGTGTAATAGTATTGATGGTTCTACACCATTATAATAATCATCACTAGGAACCAGACCAAAAAATGTTTCTATCACATACGATGAGCATGAGAGACTATGACCTACGTTACCACGACAACAGTATACAGGGAACAGTGCTGAGAGGGACACCTTTATACAGGAGTGACAATGGACACACTAACCTGACAGCTGTGTTACAAGTCCACAAATAAGTATATATTCTAATGGTACACTGATGATAAAAGATATTCTCACAATATGCTACATAGTAGGTGTTCACATCACCTTGTAATATAAGCACTTTGTGACAACGAACCATCATACTTTGACAGATATCTGGATAAAAGATTTTCTCTATCAAAGCTTCCATGTATAGGACTAACACAAAAAGACAAGGTTGATCATTTTATTTTTTGGTCTTGTTCTGAATGAATTTTAGACATTCGTATGTTTATTGACTTCTAAAACAAGAGCGACATTCTGCAATGAATGTGTTAGGGACATCCTGACAAGATGTTGGCCTCTTTGTAATACATGGCTGACCAATAAACCATGTTGACCAAATAGTGGTCTATTTGTAACAGCTAGCTGACCAGTAAAACATGTTGACCCACTGTTGGCCTCTTTGTAACACCTAGCTGACCAGTAAAACATCTTGACCAACTGTTGGTCCCTTTGTAACGCATGACTGACCAGTAAACAATGCTGACCAACTGCTGGTCTCTTTTTAACACCTGGCTTATCAGTAAACTATGTTGAACAGCTATTGATGTCTTTTTAACACCTGGCAGACCAATAAACTTTGCTGACCATTTATGGGTCCCATAACACCTGGCTGACCAGTTACTTTGCTGACCATTTCTGGGTCTCATAACACCTGGCTGACCAGTTACTTTGTACACACAGTTTAGTTTATAGCAATGACTGAAAGAGAGTTATAACATATATGAGTAAAATTGTAGAAGACTATGGAGGTTTAAGAAATGTTCGTAGTCTAATATTGTGACCATATCTATTGACTATCAGAGAAATATATACATATAATGAACAAAGTGTGGCAGATCACATAGGAAAAAGTTTGTGTCCAATGGAATGTTCTTACAACAAAAGCTTCAAATCAAACTCATCTGTATCTTTCTCAATATGTTGATTACAATAAAAAATCTATCTTCAGGATGAGCTAAGTGAATTCTCCAGACTTTGGAATGGAAATGTATACCGGTAAATAAGTTTAAGATAAAATTGTAAGCCAAATGGTTGTTCAGGAAATCTGTAGTCTAATTTGGAATGTAAACAAGTTTTATGTAAGTCATATAACACTTTGGATTTCACAAGAGAACAAGGTCAGGGTCATTACACAACACAAAACAATTTGAGACATGACCTTCACCTTGGAATGATTGTAAATTATTAATCTCTCAAATATTAGAACAGATTAACTGAATAAAATTATAATTTTAAAAAAGTAAAACAAGTTGATTCACAACCTAATAAATCTATAGGGATTTAACAACATAGAGAATAACAAATTATATATAAATATTAACACAGTACAGTGTATATAGGATGTTTACTCTTATCCAATCATCACAATTTTATCTATGATAGTCACAGGTATAGATTAATCACTCATCATATACATTGTACAAAGCAGAAAAAAATATGACAAAACATTTTTTTGAATAAAAACATGAAGCAGCATGGTAAATATTGCAGCAAAATATTGGTTGAGTCAATAAGTTTGGGTAACCCGTCCAAGAAGACAACTTTGTTAATAAATCTTTTATCTCTATGTGATGTGGACAGTGTTATCTCAACCCATGAAAGGATATGTCAAGATTGATTGTATCGGGGTAAGAAGTCCCAAATACTATGAGAATATTGCACTTATAGATGACAAAGTACTGTCATTAAAAAGCGGATTTCTAGATCAGGATATGGAAACTTGTCATCGGTAATACAGAAATATTGTGGTCACTGGTAACATTAATTTTAACCTTTGTTATATTGTAATATGACAAGTAAAAAGCAACTTCTTCTGAACCACAGATCCCTATTTTAAAATGCAACTACTGAGAAGTGAGCTTTATTGTTTGGTCACGTGGTCAACACCAGTAAAATTCTCTCTGAATTTCTAGGGTAACTCTTACATCCTCAGCTTGTGTGGAACTGGTGGAACATACGGTACTTGCCTTGATAGGCTAAACAAGGGACATAACTCATAATAATCCATCAAAACTATTGAATTCATCTTCAACCTTGAACACTTCAGTAGCAGGAATACTGTAATTGGAACTATGGGATTCAGATTATGTTTTTTGCTTTTGTTTAGAGAAATAGTTACGTATAACCAAGGGAGATGATTTGAGTAGAGTTGAATGTTTTGACAATAAATCTTTATAATGAACACAACTAATACAGAGTAAAACAAAACTAATGAGGAATTAGGACAAAATTCAGCAATAGAAAGTATAATGAAATGTAAATTTTTTTTTCTCTCGTTACATCTCGGTAAAACATGATTGTGGAGATATATATCATGCTCTCTCATTCACAGAAAACATTGATAGTGAATCAACAAAACCAGTGGATTTCATTAGACAAAACACTGCTGTGACAGCTTATACAATATCATCCAGCTTGTTGATATATCAGTTCAATTCCATAACAAGAAGTTCAGCTTTTTTTTGTCAGTTTATCTACACTTTATGGTAAAGCTTTCTATACATGCAGTATATTTTTCTGTTTAATCATGCAAAAGACTTTTAACAGCAGAGTGTTGAAATCTGATCCTTTGGCATGTAGGTATTCAATATACACAATGAATATCATATTTTAAACAAAAGGAATAAAAATACACGATGATGAATATTAGCAATTTTATATGTAATTAATCTAATGAGATTTTGTCTAATATGTCAGCCCAACTTGGATGAACAATGATACATATATCTACGTTATATTCGGGTAGTCATGTGACTCTCAGATATTTACACATAGAACATCTACCTGGAACATACAGCGCCATCTACACTACTACACTTATGTAGTATTCGTGCTTTCTACACAGGACCTTCCATCTTCTCAGTTGCCATGGCAACTCATGACACAAGGCTCTAACTTTATACACAAGACACATAGTTGTGTAAAATCATGCTCCATTGCCATGACAACCAATACCTGATGGAGGTCTCACCTTTAACATTCACGGAAAGGGAGATAATTAAGGATATGGGCATGTCAGACCTCCAAATGGAGACAGTGCATGATTTGATAATGCACAGTGACAATGTATACATATTTTTTTCTGTGGATGTATGACTTTACACATTGATATATATATTAGAATGTTGACATCTGGATACGTCATTCTTTATATGACTTTATAGAGTGTTTTTGTCATTATTTGGGCCAATCATGAATTTACAAAACTATTTGTATCACTAAATTTATGCATATCAAATTGTCAGTGCTGGTAGGTTTTCTACTTGTAGTATCAACTTCCTACTGCTAGGTTGTATTTAACCTGATCTATACTGACCAACCCCATAATGAAGGATTGACCAGCACTGACCATTCCAACATAATACTGACCAGTTCCTAGTACTGACCAATACTTGACAAGATTGGACTATACCTACCAGTACTGAGGTATATACCCATAAACTGAACTAACTCACGAGATTCATAAACTACAGGGAAGTTATTCCCTATGACGAGGGCAGAAATGTGCAGGAGTCCAAAACAAAGAAATAACCTCTATTACTTAGTTACATGTGAGAAACCTACACATCACAAAGTGTTCGCAGTTATCTGCCCCTGTCAGCCGTGAACACTTAGCATTGACATCCTCCCTGCTGTGGGTTGGTGTTCTCTGTCAGCCTTGTTCCTTTTGTCTGGCTGTTGATAAGAGAAGGATCAGAATCCAAACTTTCAGACATTTTGTCGCAAATGATGTCTACCAATCTCTCAAACACGGCTTTAACGTTGATATTTTCCTTAGCTGATGTCTCGAAGAATTCCAATCCTGAAGGAGACCAAAAATAAATCTAGAAATATCTATAACAGAAATAAAAGCAGAAGATGTGTAATTATTATCCACATAACATAACTGTACCTACATTAAATATAGCAACAATGTTAGCAGCTAAAAACAAATACATCAAGCGAAATATGAAATATAACTCCAAGCATATTCCAGTTCTATTTCAGGACTATTGAATATTCAAGTTCTATTTTTCTATTTTGGGAACATTGAATATTCCAGTTCTATTTCAGGATCATGGAATATTCCAGTTCTATTTCGGGATCATTGAATATTCCAGTTCTATTTCAGGATCATTGAATATTCCAGTTCTATTTCAGGATCATTGAATATTCCAGTTCTATTTCGGGATCATTGAATATTCCAGTTCTATTTCAGGATCATTGAATATTCCAGTTCTATTTCAGGATCATTGAATATTCCAGTTCTATTTCAGGATCATTGAATATTCCAGTTCTATTTCAGGATCATTGAATATTCCAGTTCTATTTCAGGATCATTGAATATTCCAGTTCTATTTCAGGATCATTGAATATTTCAATTGAAGATATGTAATATTCCAGTTCTATTTTTGTTTTATTGTCTTTGTACAATATGATATTACAATTAAGTTTCATCAAAATCCTTGAAGCAAAACTTGAACTTTGCTTGAAAAAGATTTCAATTTCATTATCTGAAGAAAACAAAAGGAAAGCTAGTAATTTCATGTTTCAAAGAACTAAAATTTTCTTAAATTTTCTCAGTACTACTGCTTGATTTAAAATAAGATGCAAATGTACTTGTTCAATGCAAAAGGAAAGAATCCTGCTGCAAGAAAAACAACAAAGAGAGCTTGCAATAACCTAAATTTCACCTATACAGACAGGAAATAGAAAATAATTTGCAAAGAATTTTTGTGAAAGTTTATGTTTGGAAATGAAATTTATTACAAAGTAGGAGTAAATAACAAATGAGTTGGCTCTTCAATGAATCAGAAAATGGCAAGAAGTGATGAGAAAATTGAATCTGAATGAGTTCTTCACATTGACTGACATGCTTTCATTACACTAAACACTGACATTTATAAAACAGTGTAAAGTTCTGTGTCAGTCTCAACATGTCCTATCATACTATTGTTTTTGGCTCTAAACAACAGTAAGTCTCTGTAGCAATAAAGTCCCCATTCCCTCCAGGCACAATACGGTGCTAAATATGCCCTTATACAAGTGACAGTATAAAACTCCCTGTTCACACACTGTACTGAGTTGGTGCCAAACTGGCCCAAAACTGTGATCATTCTTGTGTCTTGTTCTCTCAGCAGACAGAGAAATGGACTATATCAATTCAAATTCAATTGAGCAAAATGCTGACTTCCATCATTTTTCTGCAAAACAGCCAAAAAGCTGTTAGGAATGAATTACATTAGTCTTGCCTTTCCGAAAAAAGTCAATAGAAAATATCTGTTGGCCTGGCTAGAGAATAATATATTTCGAAACCAAACAGAAAATGTCTGTAAGATATAAATGCTGTGGTTTCAATATACATTACTATCACTGTCCAACAAATTTCTACATATATAGAAGTCACAATCTTGACCCTGGAACCCTGAAACACAAACACATCTGTGGTATTGTCTTAGTTTACTTTGTGTCAAGTTTGATCTAAATCCTTTAGACAGTAATAAGAGAGGATGATCAGTAAGAACAGACATTGGTAAAACATTCTTTGTCCCATGAGCTATTAAAACACTGTGTATGATTTACAATTAAAGGGCAATTTTCATTTTCTCTTTTCACACAATATGTAACATGGTAATTTCCCTATCAACAAAAACAAGCTAAATAATTCAATGAAACAATGAATCTGTTTTTCTCTCCATATGATAGGTAAAACTGTGAAGCTGTAAGAAAAGCTGAACACTTATTTCTGGATATATACTGTAACATTGCCAAGTTCAGAGATCTGAGGGATCCATAACTAAAATCTACCTTCTTCTGTTACAGATATTCAATTAACTCTTACAGCCTCACCATCAATGTTAATATTTTTGATGCTGACTTTTCCTTAGGTTTTAGTCCTGGCCCTTCCTGGTCCTTTTTGATCAAATCCCAATTCCCGTGATTTGTCAATCTGGTTATTTCTCTCAGCCCCTGTCCTAACCTAACCCTGCCCCTCTCCCTCTGTCATTCTAGTTGTGTCTCTCAGTCCCTGACCTCACCTAAACCAGCCACTCAACCTCTGTCATTCTAGTTGTTTCTCTCAGCCCCTGTCCTTACCTTACCCTGCCCCTCAACCTCTGTCATTCTGGTTGTGTCTCTCAACCCCTGTTCTTACCTGACACTGCCCCTCAGCCTCTGTAATTCTGGTTGTGTCTTTCAGCCCCTGTCCTTACCTAACCAAGCCCCTCAACCTCTGTAATTCTTGTTGTGTCTCTCAGCTCCTGTCCTTACCTAACCAAGCCCCTCAACCTCTGTCATTCTCGTTGTCTCTCAGCCCCTGTCCTTACCTAACACTGCCCCTCATCCTCTGTCATTCTGGTTGTGTCTCTCAGCCCCTGTCCTTACCTAATCAAGCCCCTCATCCTCTGTTATTCTGGTTGTGTCTCTCAGCCCCTGTCCTTACCTAACCAAGCCCCTCAACCTCTGTAATTCTTGTTGTGTCTCTCAGCTCCTGTCCTTACCTAACCAAGCCCCTCAACCTCTGTCATTCTCGTTGTGTCTCTCAGCCTCTGTCCTTACCTAACACTGCCCCTCATCCTCTGTCATTCTGGTTGTGTCTCCCAGCCTCTGTCATTCTGGTTGTGTCTCCCAGCCACTGTTCTTACCTCACCCTGCCCCTCAACCTCTGTAATTCTGGTTGTGTCTCTCAGCCCCTGTCCTTACCTAACCAAGCCCCTCAACCTCTGTAATTCTTGTTGTGTCTCTCAGCCCCTGTCCTTACCTAATCAAGCCCCTCATCCTCTGTTATTCTGGTTGTGTCTCTCAGCCCCTGTCCTTACCTAACACTGCCCCTCATCCTCTGTTATTCTGGTTGTGTCTCTCAGCCCCTGTCCTTACCTAACCAAGCCCCTCCCCTTCTGTCATTCTGGTTGTGTCTTCCAGCCTCTGTCATTCTGGTTGTGTCTTTCAGCCCCTGTCCTTACCTAACCAAGCCCCTCAACCTCTGTAATTCTTGTTGTGTCTCTCAGCTCCTGCCCTTACCTAACCAAGCCCCTCAACCTCTCTCATTCTCGTTGTCTCTCAGCCCCTGTCCTTACCTAACACTGCCCCTCATCCTCTGTCATTCTGGTTGTGTCTCTCAGCCACTGTTCTTACCTCACCCTGCCCCTCAACCTCTGTAATTCTGGTTGTGTCTCCCAGCCCCTGTCTTTACCTAATCAAGCCCTTCAACCTCTGTCATTCTCGTTGTGTCTCTCAGCCCCTGTCCTTACCTAACACTGCCCCTCATCCTCTGTCATTCTGGTTGTGTCTCTCAGCCCCTGTCCTTACCTAACCAAACCCCTCATTCTCTGTTATTCTGGTTGTGTCTCTCAGCCCCTGTCCTTACCTAACCAAGCCCCTCAACCTCTGTAATTCTTGTTGTGTCTCTCAGCTCCTGTCCTTACCTAACCAAGCCCCTCAACCTCTGTCATTCTCGTTGTGTCTCTCAGCCCCTGTCCTTACCTAACACTGCCCCTCATCCTCTGTTATTCTGGTTGTGTCTCTCAGCCCCTGTCCTTACCTAACCAAGCCCCTCCCCTTCTGTCATTCTGGTTGTGTCTTCCAGCCTCTGTCATTCTGGTTGTGTCTTTCAGCCCCTGTCCTTACCTAACCAAGCCCCTCAACCTCTGTCATTCTCGTTGTGTCTCTCAGCCTCTGTCCTTACCTAACACTGCCCCTCATCCTCTGTCATTCAGGTTGTGTCTCCCAGCCTCTGTCATTCTGGTTGTGTCTCCCAGCCACTGTTCTTACCTCACCCTGCCCCTCAACCTCTGTAATTCTTGTTGTGTCTCTCAGCTCCTGTCCTTACCTAACCAAGCCCCTCAACCTCTGTCATTCTCGTTGTCTCTCAGCCCCTGTCCTTACCTAACACTGCCCCTCATCCTCTGTCATTCTGGTTGTGTCTCTCAGCCACTGTTCTTACCTCACCCTGCCCCTCAACCTCTGTAATTCTGGTTGTGTCTCCCAGCCCCTGTCTTTACCTAATCAAGCCCTTCAACCTCTGTCATTCTGGTTGTGTCTCTCAGCCCCTGTCATTACCTAACCCTGCCCCTCACCCTCTGTCATTCTGGCTGTGTCTCTCAGCCCCTGTCCTTACCTTACCCTGCCCTTCAACCTGTCATTCTGGTAGTGTCTCTCAGCCCCTGTCCTTACCTTACACTGCCCCTCACCCTCTGTCATTCTGGTTGTGTCTCTCAGCCCCTGTCCTAACCTAACCCAGCCCCTCAAACTCTGTCATTCTGGTTGTGTCTCTCAGCCCCTGTCCTAACCTAACCCAGCCCCTCAACCTCTGTCATTCTGGTTGTGTCTTTCAGTCCCTGTACTTACCTAACCCTGCCCCTCTCCTTCTGTCATTCTGGTTGTGTCTCTCAGCCCCTGTATTTACCTAACCCTGCCCCTCTCCTTCTGTCGTTCTGGTTGTGTCTCCCAGCCCCTGTCCTTACCTAACACTGCCCCTCAACCTCTGTCATTCTGGTTGTGTCTCTCAGTCCCTGTCCTTACCTTACACTGCCCCTCAACCTCTGTCATTCTGGATGTGTCTCTCAATCCCTGTCCTTACCTTACACTGCCCCTCAACCTCTGTCATTCTGGATGTGTCTCTCAGCCCCTGTCCTTACCTTACACTGCCCTTCAACCTCTGTCATTCTGGTTGTGTCTCTCAGCCCCTGTCCTAACCTAACCCAGCCCCTCAAACTCTGTAATTCTGGTTGTGTCTCTCAGCCCCTGTCCTAACCTAACCAAGCCCCTCAACCTCTGTCATTCTGGTTGTGTCTCTCAGCCCCTGTCCTAACCTTACCCTGCCCC